GCTTCCAGATGAACACAGTGGTTGCAATAATTGCGACAGTGTGTGCTTATTGACAAATGCAGCAGCTGGTAGAAAGGCTTTCTAATGGACATTAGTCTGAGCTACTGCTATACAGGAGACTGCATCTAATGAGGCTGGCTGCTGGAAAGTTGTAGTGTGAACTAGGTAGATTGTGCCAGTGCTAATAATCACCTTAATTGCAGACAGATTGGACGTCGAGGTTTTACGCCCCCCTCACCCCAATGCAGGGGTGGTCTGCAGACTCTGGACACTGTGCGTACAGGGAGGCAAGGGGGTCTCAAGCTGCTGCATAAGTCTTAGAACGCACTGTCATTGTCGCTGTATCTAGATCGAGTGCCTCGCTCCGGCACTCGACATTCTACATGCATGGGGATGCCTTTCTTGACCAGGAGTCCAACATTTTAAATGTACCGGGACTACGCAAGGTCCAGATACATATGTAGTGTTGTGTAGTGGAGGAAGCCCCCCAAAGTTCCCCCAATTAAACAGCTGCTATAACAATGACCATGTGCTCTATTCATGTAAAGACGGCAGGCCGTCGCCACGTTCTCTGGTCGCGCTGACAATGTGCCGATCATAGAAAGAAGCGAGCTGGCGTACCTCAGGCTGCAGACAGATGCTTTTTCTTTGTCTTCAACCAAAAAGACAACAGCGCTGTAGAGACTTTACCACTGTGTACCATTCTAGAGATACAGCGATACAGCATCCAACATTTCCATCTCCATCCCTGAACCAGTTGGTATCTTTCCCATCCTGGGCCCACTGTTGGTGGTTTGTGCCAGGTCAGCCAAACTCACAGTCTCACATGGCTTTCACTAGACAAAAAAAAAAAAAAAAAAAAAAAAAAAAAAAAAAAAAAAAAAAAAAAAAAAAAAAAAAAACTCGAGTCAGCAAAATGATCTTACAACATGATGACAACTTCAGAACAGAAAACCAGCACTGGGTCGATTTTTTTTTTTTTTTGTTTCCTCTCTGAGGGCAGTGAGGGGACAAAAAAAAAAAGAAGAAAAAAAGAAAAAAAAAAAGCACATGCCTGTAGTAGAGAACAGAACCTTAAGGGCCTGGCTGCACTGCTCTCGAAACGTGCAAGACGAGAATGAATCGTCCGCTAGAATATGGAAAGATACACCGCCATGATTTTTGTCTTTCGTGCATGTCGAGAGTAGCAGAGCGACGCCCCAAGGTTCTTCAATTGTTAACTCGATGACTACCTTCTTCTTCCGCCGAATATAACGTACGCCGTCGTACGGTCATTATAGCTGTATTTAGACTGCAAGATAACCCCAAATTCAGCTAAAATGACCATACATTGTATTCGGGGGAAGACTGCAGCAGGACAACTGCCACTCTGATGACATCAACTACGGAGGGACTGGGTACGACAGCCATGATATGATACCCTATCGATACAATTTTCACCTCAGCGTGCATTCCACTGATAGAAATGAAAGGACATGCCTCTCCTTCGGTGCAACGTGAACCTCGTCCCAGAGTGTAGCTGCAGGTTCTGAGGGCTTGACCATTCCTGCAAAAGAGCGGAGTGGAAGATTCAGAGTCGCCAGAAATTGAGCTCACCGACGAGTCGGCGACGACACATCTAATTCAATTTGAAGCCGAGGTCCTGATGATCAATGGCGTATGCCATCTTCCTCACACCGAGAGGTCGTGATAAACATAAATGCAGAGTCGTTGCAGACTAGTTTTTTTTTTTTTTTTTTTTTTTT